ATCTATGTATCTATGTATCTATGTATCTATGTATCTATGTATCTATGTATCTATGTATCTATGCATCTATGTATCTATGCATCTATGCGTCTATGTATCTATGTATCTATCTATATATTTATCTATGTACATGTCTATGTATCTAAAATCGATACTACTACTGCTCTAATAACACATGGCCAAAGTTCAATGATGTTTTAATTATTTAATGAGCAAATGTGAGCTATAAATTGACATTGGCGCAGCTTGAATGGCACATTCAATGAGTGCATTCATACATTCGAACACCACAAGCTCAATTATTCATTGACTGTGCGCTTTTTTTTTGTACCACTTTCAAATTGAACTAAATTTTGCACCGCTGCGCGCTCTGTATTTATTTTCGACGAAACCCAATGGCAAGCACAACGAGGAAAACCACGGAAACCACAACGAATTTAGCAGGACGCTTGACCGGATAAGGCGCATGGCGTGTTGCGGGGGCGTGGTTAGCGACGTGGGCGCCTTGACTGCATTTGAATGCAGCGCCGGACAATCCAAAACAAAATGGCGACTCGCTGGCTCAGTGAAGCGTGACAGGCAAAATAAAAACTGGCTAAGAGAATGCGCCAAAAATTAAGCATGCAGCGCGTGGGCGAAAAGCCGATAGAAAAAAAAAAAAAAAACAAAAAAACAATATAAAATAATAGCAAATTCAGAGAGTATTGGATCGAAATGGTAAATCACATTATATATATAGAGATATAGATATATATTTATTTGTATGTTTATGCATGTTTTTGAAGCAATCCGAAGCAAAATGCAAATGGAACCCACCGCAGCGCTGCTCTGCCATTAATTGGCAATTTATAGCAGAGCTAAACCACATCAGGCAGTCGCACCACCAAACTCCATTTTCACGTGCGCGCTCAAGTGAAAATTATAATTTCCAGCAACTGAATCTCTCATACAGCCGCAAAACAAGAGCCAATGCTATAAAAATGTACATAGAAAGCGACACTCGGCCAGCAGCAAACAAAAAACCAAAAACGAACAAAAAAATATATAAAAAAATAAATAAAAGAAGAAAAGTCGCCAAACTTTAGCCGCGAGCAAACCGTCCATGACGACCACAGAAGGCGACACCCCAAAACAGTTCCGACAAAAGCTAAAAAAAAATAAACATTAAAGGCCAGGGTTTATGTTAATGCCTAAAACGAATAATTAATACTCTTTAATCGAAAAGGCAATGCGATTTAATGGCAAAGAGCAAAATGATTTTTATAAATATGATCACATAAACATCATTATATATAAGAATTCTTTGTGCTTTAATGCAATTTTATAATAGGCATATCAGCAATAATATGTCTTATGATAATATTATTATTATTTAATTTTTTATAGGAAAATATTTTTAAATGCATATGTATTTATTATTTAGGAAATAAATAAAATTGGTTATATATTTAAAAATTTAAAAAAAATATATACTGCATAAATATTTATTTACACACATATATACAAATCCTATAAAATAAAATCCTATTAAATATTTTTCAGATCAAATTATAGTTTTGTCTTTTAACAAAAATATACTTCATTATTTTTATTATTTTTATTTGTTATTATTGTATTTTATAAAATTTTTTATTTTCATTTAATTATTTTATTTTTTTGTTTAAATACATTTTATATTTATTTTTAATATATCATATATAGCTCCTTAAAAACAATATATTTAAATCTATTATTTTATTTTATTTATTTTTCAACAGTTTTTTATTTTATACCTAATGTTCAATATTTATGATAAAAAATACATATATTCAAAAATATATTATTTCATACCTTTGCGATTCACTTTGTTCAAGATAGTTTACATAATGAACAACTAATGTATTTTATGAACAACTCGCATTGCATTCCAACAGATATGTTAAGCAGATCGACTCGCGATAAAGAGTATAGACACCGCCCAGTTGGCGATTTATCGCATTTTGCTGTGGTCGGCATTAGTTACGCTGAATTTTATCACAATTGCAATTCTTTCTGGACCCGGTCCCAGACCCGCCAGAAAAGGATTTTTTTCTTCTTTTTTTTTATTTTTGGGCTGCAGCCAAGCCAAAGAGGTGGCTGGAAATGCGAATGATGATTAAGATGAAAATAGAAATGGAAAATGGAAATGGAAAATTCGCCGGCCGCTGCCTTGGCAACTGACCGAACGTCGAGCGCTGAGCGCTGAGCGTTGCTAATTTCCACGTTTCGCCTTTAAATATAATCATAATTTGGTCTGATTTTTGCTTTGTTGCCGCTGTAAATGATTAACGCCGTGGGGCTTTTGGCCATGCTGGCCGTGTGGGCGTGTGGGCGTGTGGCCCTGTGGCCGTGTGGGCGTGGAGTACGCCCGTATAACCGTTTAACTTTTGCCGCCAACGCAGCCATCAGTTTCAGCTTCTGGCTAGCGGACTCCTGCCATTCGAATGGGTTCTTTAAAGTGCTTCAAATTTCCTAAATTGAAAAAAAGAAGAAGAATATATATATGTATGTATATTAAATGAATTTCATATTCTTGAAGCCTGATTGCTCATTAGCACATTCATTTGGCTGCACTCCAGCGGGAGCGCTTAGCTCTCATGGCAGCCCCCGCCCCATACGC